GCCGTGGTCGCGACGCACCTCTTGCGCTTATGCTAATGCGAGAGCCGAGAAACAACCGAAACGGAAGAAGAAGAAAAAATTAAATACAAATAATACGCGCGCTCGGGAGAGGTGGTCGAGGAGCAAGGACTACATACTGCACGGAGAGATGTGTGTCCTTGTAACGCGTGCCACGGGAATTGGTTCTTCCTCGTGCGGGCTCCGCTCCAGCTCTTCTGCCGGCGAGGCAGTCGATTTTGTTTGTTTGTTTTTCTCTCTCTCTCTCTCTTTTCTTTCTCTCTTTATTCATAGGCGTCAGTGTCACGGTTCGTTGGGATGACCGTGCTGAGGACGCCCCAAGGGTGGAGCGACGCATCGTTCGTCGACGCCTTGTACGCGTCCTCCTTTTTTTGTCTGATCCCTCAGGATTATCGATGCCGCGTTGTGGAGGCTGCGGGCTGATAGGGACACAACTGGACTCTTACGAGTGGGAGCGCTATGGAGTTGCAGTATCGCCGAGCTCAAAAAAATTAAGCTTGAGAGCGTTTGTGCGCGTGTGTGTTCTCGCGCCTAGCCCTGCACACTTCATGATCTTGTCCGAATCTTTGCGGACTGCAGTTACCATCAACATTTCGCACAGGAGCACTGACGCTTATTTTATGAATATTCGCGTCGTTCTAACTAAAACCACTGGTGTCGAGGAAGACTGAAAGGCTGTCGTCGTGCCTCGAAATGCATTTAACTTACTTCAATACCGCTGCCCTAAAAGTTCGCTTTCGGTTTCAATATTGAGGGGACGATATCACAGTGACGTGTGAACCCAATAGAATTGGGTGCACGTTAAAGAGACACCAGGTGGTCGAAATTTTCCGGAGTCCTCCACTACGGTGTCTCTCATAATCATTATGGTGGTTTCGGGACGTTACACTCCACATATCAATCAAATCAATTAGTGTAAACCCAATGGGACATAGGTCTAAGTAACGTGGGCACAGCTTTTAAAGCACTACAGCAGGGCTCCTTTTTCTGCTGCTATTTGTACGCGTCCCCCCCCCCCCCCGAATATTTTCAGATGTGCTTGGTTATGTACACACGCCCACGGACAGGGGACATGGCTCGACCCTAAAGAGCTTCGCCCCTAAAATATCTGTGGTCATTCTTAGACACAGTTGAAATACCCGTTGCGCGAGGTTGGAGTCAATGAGTAAACAATGAAACTTCCTGTACAGAATAGCTTAATGCGGAATCGGTCGGTCGTGCGAATAAATTCCGGCTTTACGCCGTTCGCATGCGGGCGCGAAAATTATGCGTGACGTAATTGGCCAGATAGACGGGCTGTCAAAAGTTGTGCGTACAACGATTGGCGGGCACGCGGTCCCTGAACGAGACGAAATTTCCCGTTTGCGGATCTTCGTCCGACTGCGTTCTCAACCCTTCTAGGCGCATTACACGTATCTGTGTGCGTAAATTATTTATTTTTCTAGTTGCGTCGACCAAAGGCTAAGGGCAAGGTAATTTAGGCTTTCGATGAAGCGGTCGTTCTGCGTAATGAAGCGCTCTCTTTGAACTTCGTTCTCCTGTGTATTGCAGTGTTGAATCATTTTTACTGAACAGTCTATACCAAGCTCGGCGAGTCGTTCGACGCGCCGCTGTCCGCTAGCGTTGTCAGAACTACAATATTTGCTTGCTAGAAATTAATGAAACCGAGAACGAAATCGCACCTTTTTTTTAGCCTGAGATTTCATTCTATTAATGCGAAATTCACATGGATTACTTCAGGATAAATGTACTCTTTTGGTAATTAATTAATATTAATAACCCAAAATACACAAGACGTTTACGATATTCCTTTTGTTATGAAAATAATAAAACATAGTCTTCCTCGGAATATAGTTGTGTAAAGTCGATGCAGTTACGAACAGGAATTCACGAGAAGCACCTAAAAGAGCTCGTACATTCTCCAAGGATAACTATGCACTTAACAGAATGCCGACAATCTACGGGGCCAAGGACGAGTTTCAGAGATTTCCACTGCAAGACTATCAGGACGTCCGATCGGTTCGCAGAACCAATGAGGCATTTACGTCGGTTCAGTATGAATGGACCGTTCCGGTCTCACCTGCTCGTAATGCCGGGATGAAAATTACCCGAGACTAAAGCATAAGTGGTACTCGTAAAATCGACTGATTTTATTATAGAGGGAGGCACCTAGATCGAACCTACGGAATGTTGTTTTATTTCGGTACGCGGCCTAAATCTGCAGGGCTCGCGGAATGGCGATTCCTTACGTCGCGCACGTATTGTGGAAATGAACCGTATAAATCGATTGCGCTCCATGGTCGTAACGCTTAATTACGACGCTATAGGCTCGAGCACGGTTTACGGCGGTTGCTCTGTGCTCGAATCGCAAACGCTCCCTGAGGTTTATACACGCCCCAGAAGCCAACACTTGCTCAAGGTTACGTTTACGTTGAGACGTGGGACGAACTACGTAAACGTTCTGGCGGCGCGGCGACTGCTTATACGACACGGCCTCCTTCGTCGCGCTTCAAGACAAGGACCTGCGAATGTGGCCCCCGTAACACTCTGAACACGCCGTGGACATTGGAATTTTAGCTGGCCAACGGGAACTTCCGCGCTTCCATTGGACACGCACTGGTAGGAATTGTGGGTCGGGGCAGTGGGTGAAGTTGATTTGTTTCGAGCCTGATAATCAAATTATGCGTCCGCAAGTGTGTAGTTCTTTAGCTTAAAAGGAGACATATGAGTAGGTCAAGGGTTTGACGTTGTCGATGCCCATACATCGATGGAAGCAATTTGCCATGGAGATATTCTTCCGAAGTGTTATCATTTTCACTGGTATAGCGCACCACGACAACGACACACACAAAGGAGAGATGCACACACACACAGCGCTGTGTGTGTGTGAATCTCTCCTTTGCGTGTGTCCTTGTCGTGGTGCGCGATACCAGTGAAAATGATGAATCTCAACCAACTAGCCCGGCAACGTGCCTTTCCGAAGTGTTACTTTTTCATTAGCCCGTTTCTTCGATTGCTTCCGCTACCTTTTATTTATTTATTAGCGGAAAACAGTGGACTAATTGTTCGCTAATTAGGGACAAAACCAAATCAACGCTGTGCAGTGATTTAATCGCCACCGACCAGGGCTCTGTACTGAAGCTTGGTTTTTCTCGACATGAGTGTATCCCGTTTTCGCTAGGCTTATGTGCTGAAGAAGCCGTTGATTACGCACATCGTGACATGACCGTGAAAAGTTCTCTTGCCGTATGCGCGTCTATAAACGACCTCGGTTTTCAAAACGCGATGCACTTTTTTCGAAACTGTCACGCTTACCCGTTAGAACCAAAATGCAAAGTGAAATTCGGTGAAAGTATTGCTCCGTTTCCAACTTCGTAGTATCAATGATTTGAGGAAAAGTACCCGAGCTAAGCTTTCTTGCGTCTCGTTTGTTGTACTTGTTGAGATCGTGCATCATAATATGAGCCACGTTTAAGCGTTACTTTTTGCACTTTCAGGCGGTGGTATTTATTTCTTTGTGCGTATTATAGTGCTATAGTAAAAAAGAACAATTTTTGATTTAAGAGGAAGAGTCCTTCTAATTTTCGTTTTTTTATATCTCTTCTTCTCATCTCTTCTCTTCTGTTCTCTTTCTTTCTTTCTTTCTTTCTTTCTTTCTTTCTTTCTTTCTTTCTTTCTTTCTTTCTTTCTTTCTTTCTTTCTTTCTTTCTTTCTTTCTTTCTTTCTTTCTTCTTTCTTTCTTTCTTTCTTTTCTTTCTTTCTTTCTTTTTTCCTTTCTTCCTCCTTCCTCTATTTCTTTTCTTCCTCCTTACTCTCTTTCTTCTTTCTTTCCTTCTTTATGTAAGTGTCGTAGCAGCACTTGAAGAGCCGTAAAAGGTGAAGTTAGAACCCCTTGGCCGTTATACACAAGCACGTGTTGCGCTAAAGCTTATCGTAAGAGAATATTTCAGCCAATCACGCTGCGGGACTCATTACCGAAGTCGCCTAGCCGATCAGAAAATGCACTTACGAGAAACAAGCCTCGTGAATTCGACACCTGGCTGTTTTGGTCCTGATTCGCTTTCCTTTCACGTCTATAAGACTGCTGTGCTATATAGATCGGCACTGCTTCCAGACTTCACTAATACTTGTTCAGAAACACTTTCAACGGCTTTTACTTTCAAGAGCAGCATGTTAATGCCCTTCCGTGCAGACAGACATAAAAACTTGTATCATCCGCCTTTTTTCCTTTATTAAACGTTACGTGGACCCATTGCGCATACACCCTGAAACAGCAACTTCACGCTTACAGTGTCGCCTTCTCGTACGCTATGCCGACGCTAGAAACTCCCACCGTCTCCTTCTGCGCAGAGCGCCGTACGGATTGCCCGATTCGCGCATGGTGGAAGCGTCTCCGGAAGTGCGGAAGTGAACGTCGCTGACGCGTTCGTCCTTCCTGACCAGGAAGGACGTGAAGCTTCCAGAGGTGACAAAAAATCCGTTCGTCTCTTGACTTGATCGAGTGAGTGCCAAAAGTATGAGTATCAAGAACGGAGCGAATAACAAAACGTAAATGACCTCTCAAAGCTGGGTATCTCTCTTATCTATTCGCTTACGATGTCCACAGCCGTAGGTCTTCTCAAGGGGCCGTCGCCGATCGGCATATCGCCTTTCCCACCAACGGCAAGGAGAATATTTTGTCGACTTTAATTTATTGCAGTATACGTAACTATTACTACACTTAACTTGAAAGACAACTGTTGTCGGCCGTCATGCCCCTGCCTGGTCGGATTGTCTGTTCGTTTTATTTGGTTCAGTAGCTATAGCAAGAGCCACTTGGCACCATTTCATTGAAGTCTTCTGGTCATGTGCCCTGCGAGGTTGTTTGTATACGCGACCGAAAGAAGAAAACTTCAGTTCGTCTAAAATAAACCGTGCTGATGCATTGTCCAGTCACACACTACCAAAGAAAAAAAAAACATTCGTGATGCAAACCTACTCACCGGTTTTCGAAGGCAGCGGCGCTTTGCCGTCCAAGCCAAGAAGGGGGTAAGCAAGTCCTCTCTCTCGGTCGTAGTCGGGGCTTGTGTTCCGTTCCGAGTCCGGTCTTTGGTGGAACGGGCTTGACGGAGAATCCCGTCCGCAAACAGACAACGCAGCGTGAGGGAAAAGATTGCTATCACGAAGGGGAGAGAAAGAACGTAGGAAGAGAGGGGGTAAGTAAAAAAAGATATACTCAAGAATATTTCTAAAAAAAAAAAACAATTCGACCGCGAGTTAAGAACGAAGAGGGTTGCTGGAGAACAACAACAAAAAAAAGCTACCCTCTTTTTGTCGCTGTCCGGACGGTTAAAACGAAGTCTCCTCGCGTCTTTGCCTGCGTCTCCCAGAAGACTTCTTCGGGGGCGCCGCTCGAGACTACGGACCAATAGTACGTCAGACAAAGAAAAGTCCTTGCTGTGATATGCTCCGCCTGTGCTAGTCCTGATTGCCTCTCAAAAAGACTTCTTCGCCTCCCGTCCCCCTTCGGGTGCAGGTTCCCACGCGATGAAGCTGAAGGCAAGACAAAGAGAGTTCACGTTAGCGCGACAAACAAGCCGTACTTGCCGAGATATTCCGATCACTCCGCTCTTGTCGGCGGCACCGAATCGAGATGGGGGCTCGCGTGAACCGAAGAAAGACAAACCGCTCCTCTTTCTTTTTTCCACGATAAAGACACGAACTGAACTCTACCCTCGTTTTTCCTCCTCTAATCAGTTTTAGATTGAGGGGAGTGAGCGTAGATAACCGTATGAGCTTTTTTTTCGGGTTAATGCCTCTTTCTTTTTTTTTTCTCTCTCTCTTTCGATAGGAGGCACAAGCGTTGCTCAAGAGCTGCAGAACACTCGTGGCTCTGGAATTTCGGATGCACTCACACACGTTACTTTAGCCGAACACGATTATTAGCGCGTTGCGCAAACGGCAAAGCACGCAGCCGAACGTCGCCTAGGAGGGGAGATAAGCGATGGAATTCGAGTATTTTTTTTTCTGCAGGTCTTCCCCCCAAGGTTACTTTTGTACTTCCTATCCCTTCACTTTTTTACCAGCACCAAGTGACATTTCTTAGACACACCTTCGTGGACGGCACGTGGAGGTGGGAGGGGGGGACCTAAGTGGCCCGCAAGCTGGACGTCCTCGATACGGGTACCAGGAGCGAATGCGTACGTCCACGGCGGGAAGGCGCCGAAGTAGTCCGGATGATAGAAACGAGCAAGTCCTCGCCTCCTACGTCCGCCGCTCGAGTCGTCGAGAACGTCTAAGCCGAGCCAGCTGCCGCCGGCCCACACAGCGCACAAAACAAGACCGTCGTCGTTACGTATAGAGTTGCCGTCGAGCACGATCAGGTACGGAGTCGACGAACGGGGACGTCACCGTCGTTGATCGTCGCACAAAAAAATCTCCGCAGCCTGTTCCTTGGGCCCCGAAGATGTTGTGGATCGGAGGATGGTATCACAAGCACCACACAAGAAACCAAGCACTCGGTTTGGGGGGTAACTGAAGTAAAAAAAAATAAAACAAAAAGAAAGAAACGAAGAAAGTGGACGGAGTTCGGAGAAGTTTTTCTTATCGACGTGGTCGCAACATTCGTGCGAGCGCGTCTTCTGAAGTGGGACGCCCGGCTATTTAAACTCCGACCGGTGCGCGGAGAGGTATATGCGCTGGAGGAGGGAATCGCGGAGCGAGAGAGAAAAGGAAAGAGATCAAGCGATGTGCGAAATAGTTCCTAGATGGCGCTACGAAAGCAATGACGTCACTAGAGAGATGGGGGAAAAAGAGCGGAGGATTCTTGCGTCATGCTTGACGTAGGTAAAACGTGTTTAGGAAGTTTGCGCTCTCTGCGAGCACGGAGCGGTGCTGTGCTGCACCGTGCTTAGGAGTAACCGAGGAGTAGCTTCTGTACGGCCATGACGGGGCTGCCTGTTACGTAAAAGCCAAGAACCAATCGCAGCACATCGAGTATTCATTTATAAATCGGAAAAGTTTGGCGCTTCAACGGGCAATGCGACAACGAGGAAGCGTCTGGCAAAGCGTAGGTTATAATATCATGCTTTCTACGAAAGATGGCCTTAGGTTGAAAACGTGCGGCTTCATGTCAACACAGGGAGCCGTGACTAAGCACATGAAAGAGCAAAGCCTACACTTCGTCAATTCGTCTTGGCTACTTCTGGATTAAATAATTAGTTATAAATTAAAAAATTCGGAATGCGTGATAAAGCGAAGTCGTTGAAACTGCGTCATCAACGACGAAATAATGTTAGTTAAAAACTTTAAACAGACCAAGCGCGTTAAGTGATACGACTACAATGTACTAAGGACGCAAGTGCGAAGGCGACACATTTAATTTACTTATATGTTCGACCTGGCAACCCTGGCACAGAATTGAGTGTAGCGTTGGATTTCCAAATTGCCGAAAAGGCACCGTCGTAGTCATGTAAACTCCTCGACCGTTTCAAGCTCATTTTCTCCGATATCTTGAAGTGATCATTCATTCATTCATTCATTCATTCATTCATTCATTCATTCATTCATTCATTCATTCATTCATTCATTCATTTTTGAAAGTGCTGACGAACATCCGTAGGTCTTAATTACGGTGCATACTTGATCCTAAGCTGGGGGCTCGCTCGCTGGATTTCGTGCCTACTGGTTGTGCCTCCTCGATCTCAGACGACAGCGCAGCTCTGGCCCACTTGCTCGCCCTACGCCATCTCCTGACGCCGACAAGAGCTCTCGCTGAAGGTCGCCCCGTCCTCGGACTCTTGCGACCGTGTCCACCTTTCCTATCTTCTCCTTACTTCCGTATGTGGCTGTCCCTGCGCCTCGCTCTCTCCTTCCGCTCCCTCCATCTCTATACCTTTTAATCCTATCCTTTTAATCCCTCTTACCCCCACCCCTCGTGAGCTACTGTTGAGGTGTCCGTGTCCTCCCCTTAGAGACAGTTACGGGGCTCACTTTTCTCTTCTCTTCATTTAAAATCACTCCCCCCTCCCCCCCTAAACTGGACCGAAAGTTAACCTGAGAGTCCGAATGGTATTCTGAAATAATCGCGAAAGCGTTCTGAAAGGGTTCGAAACGTCTTCTGAAAGTGTCCCCCGAGCGTCCTGAAAGAGTCCGGAAATGTACATGAGAGTCCAAGAAGTGTTCTGAAAGGATCCCTAAAGCGTCTTGAAAAGGTCCAAAAATAAACCTTAAAGCCCCAAGTTTTCTAAAAGGGTTTATAGAAAGCGTCCTGAAAGGATCCGAAAAGTGTTCTGAAAGGATCCCGATAGAGCCCTGAAACTGGTTCGAAAATGTACCTGAGAGAACGAAAACTGTTCTGAAAGGATCCCGGAAGAGTCCTGAAAAGATGCCGAAAAAGTGTTTTGAATGGAACTCTAAGGAGTACTGGAAGGAGACCGGAAATGGACCTCAGGGTGCGAAAAGTGTTCTGATAGAATCCCGAAAGCGTCCTTGAAAGATTCGATAATCGACCCGCGAGTCCAAAAAGTGTTCCGAAAGGTACCCCAAAGTATCCTGACAGGGTCCGAAAAAGGGACCTGTGTGTTCGAAAGATGTACTGATAAAATCCCGAAAGAGTCCTGTAAAGGTCTTAATATAATCACGAGAGTCCGAAAAGTGTTACGAAAGGGCAGCTTAAGAGTCCATGAAAGTGACCGAAAATGAACCCGAAAGTCCGAAAGAGTACCTAAAGAGGCCTGAAAAGATCTCAAAGATCTGAGAGTTGGAAAAGTGTTCTTAAATGGCACTCAAAAGAATGTGATAGGACAGGCTGTTCTCGCTCTCCCGACGCGACTGGCCGGCCGCGTCGGATGCACCCACATCGGTGGCGTCCACTCCAGGGACTTTGTTCCCTCCTTTCTCGCCACTTCGACCCCTCCGACCAGCGCAGCTTCGGAAGCTTGCAGGAGGGTTCGCGCGTCTCGTATCACCTGTTCATCGGCGTCTTACGCTCCTCGCCGAAAAAAAGGGTCCCGATTCGCGGCCTTCGGGCACAGAGTGCGGGAGGAGGGGGCGTCAACCTTACGTTGTTTTCGCTACTCTGTAATAAGCATAGTAAGACAGAGCCGTCTTTATACTTTATCTCGGTGTTTTCCCTGTGGATGATAAGAGATGGCGGCATCAGGCTCGTCTGTCTTCGAAAGCGAGTTTACAAATATCGCACAAACCGCCTTGCTCTGTAAAAAAAAAAAAAAAAAATGTTTTGAACTAACAAAAGCGCAAAGTTCGCACCAGTGGCGCAAGGCTGGAGCGACCAGCAGTTTTCGCCCCCCATAGGTATGCAAGCTTTTGCTAGAAATGCATTATTTTTGCTAGTCGTACTAAGCACAGCTAGCCGTGAATACCTGTTTCGGGACGTCGCAATTTTTAGTGACGTCACCGGCTGTTACGTTTTTTTTTTTTTTGTGGGAACACGTCACGTGTCTAGCTCTTCACGTGATTGTAGTCAGCGGACGTTTGAGATACGGCGTGTCATGACGACATCGTTCTTTTATTGAAAGCGTTGCGATTTCCGCGGTACGTGCGATTTCCGCGGCAACGGTACTATATAGACCGATTCGTGATCGCCTTTTCGCTCGAAGAGTACCCGGTATCTGGTGGGATTTCGGGTATGTTATTTGAGGCGCCTTTTATTATATGGGAAATTCCTTACGCGATGACATCGGTACGAACGGTGATTGATTGCGACTCTCGGTATTTTATTTATTTATTTATTTATTTATTTATTTATTTATTTATTTATTTATTTATTGTACCCTCAGGGCTTTACAGCATTGCAGAGGGGAGCGGGCACTGACGAACAATGTTAAAGAAAAGAATACATAGACAAGACACCAGAACATTATTAAACACTGGAAAGCAACTATTATCAACTGCAACTATGTTATACAGCCAGTAGATTATACAAGAAAACTAACAACAAAATCAAACGTTTACATTTCCAACACCAAGTATGTTATCGAGCGATGTTTTAAAACTGCAAGGCGAGGTGATGGATGCAACTGATTGTGGGAGGTGGTTCCAATCTTTGCAAGGGATGTAAAACAACAACGCTACCATTGCAGCCCGACTCCGAAACGTAGGGACTATACTGAGGAAATAGGCCAGCGCGCGTCATAGCTAAGTTTAGAACCGTTCCATATTCCAACGCGCCCTTCGCTGATGTAAGAGTCCGCTGACTGGCCTGCCGTCGGCGCCGTATTGCATCGCCTTCAATCGGATTTCGCGATCAGAATCGATGCAATTAATTCCGAGTACACTGGTAAGTGCAAAGTTCCCAGCGGCTGTTGTGCGTCAGCGAGATGCCGCTCATTGTACTCCGTTTGTGAAGTATACACGTAAACGATGTCACTTTTGCCTTTGGTGCATCCTTGATTGTCGGCGCCATCATTTGCGAAGACCTATGCGGGGAAGACTTTAGCTTGAAATAGATGATGATAATGCTGCTTTTGTGAGCGCGTGTTTTTATGTTACGTGAAACGGTGATGGGCACCACAGCAATAGTTTGTACCGAGAAATGTATTGCTTGCGTCGAAGAGTTCAGATTTCGAAGTCGACCATTTCGTCAGCGTTGAGTCCAAATCTCCATATATGATCCTTTTTTGACGTCGGCTTGCTGTGGACCGTCGCTATAACAAACACCATACTTGTGTATGCAATACAAAATGTAATCTTATATGTTTACCCGCGTTACGTGTTCGAAATAGGTATTCCGTACAAAAGCGATGTATTTCGTAGAACAACTTGAGAACGTGCATCTTTAAATATGTTGATGGTCGAATCATGCGCGCATCACGTGGAAACTCGTGCAGGACTGGCCCCGCTCATTTACGAAATTACAAAGACCGTCACAAAGAGGATAAGGAAGAATTAACGCGTAATGATTGAATTAATTGAACGAATGACATGCGTGTATCGCAATATTTTTATGCTCCATCGCTCTCCGACCTATACACACACACAAAAGAAACTTAGAAATCACAGATATTCACAACGCGTTTTTCACTGCCTAAAATGATTTCATCCCAGTACCGATTTTCGCACCTTCGCGCGAGTTTTGGCTGTCATAAACGAGGACGTACAGGTTCCCAAATTTACATGACTACAGCGACTGAATGGTCTTCCATGGAGGGGAAAACGCTGTAGGCCCGTGTTCTCACATTTGGGTGCGCGTTAAAGAACCCCCGGGTGGTCAAAACTTCCGGAGCCCTCCACTACGGCGTCTCTCGTTATCATATGGTGGTTTTGGGACGTTAAACCTCACGTATCATTATCAACCAAATGGTATTCCTGCCAAACAACTCTCTGCCTTGCACGATTGGTAAGTTCTGTTTTTGGAACATTGTAGCCGAGCGCGGCAGCTGCAACATAATGTTATTATTATTATTATTATTATTATTATTATTATTATTATTATTATTATTATTATTATTATTATTATTATTATTATTATTATTATTATTAGCAAAATAGAGCGTTAATAGGCCGTTTGTGGGTATATCGACTTTTTCACGTTTATTTTTTGCCTTTTCGCTCTTATAGCATCCACTCTACTCTGCTCAGAACGCAAAGAGTCTACGCAACAGCCATTTTCTCCATCTAAGTGTTTTTTTTT